AAAAAAAAAAAAAAAACAAAACTCCACAATATCAAGATGACTGAAGAGCAAGTTTTTCTAACAACGTAAAATTACAGAAAGCAGTAGATATATGCAAATAGAGCTGCAAAAGAATCAAGCAGAAAAACAGAAGTTCTGACAAAGATAAAGCAAAAAAAACTGTAAAAGCATATTTAGAACGATGGCTCCATATTCTTAGTACTCAGCAAGAAATCTAGGAAAAGAAAGAAGTCAAATTCAACCCATGACAGTTTCTGGAAGTACAATACAATTCACTCACTCATTTACTACGAAGTATATAAAATCAAAGTTTGTAAGGCATATGTCAAAGTGCCCCCATTTCCATAGGCGCCCTGAACAGATTAATTCTGAGCACTGAATGATGCCTACATGTCACATATCTTTTCACTTTTGTAGAACATGGAAAAATTTATTATACATAAAATGAAGAGAAAAAAACAAAGAATTCTTCTAAATATATTATTCATTTAAAAACTGACAGCCAATAATAAACGCTTGGGCAAAACAAAATATATAATAAAAACAACTTAAAATGTTGGGAAAATATTATCAAATTCTATTAAGTTGTAGAAGGAAGTGGTTTAAAGATGTCAATTCTTACTTTGGTACATGTAGAATAGAAAAAAAAATAGCAGTCTTCTCCTTGATTAGGCATGCCGGGTAGAGTCTAAGATCAGAAGTGGCTTTTGGTAACAAGCCACTGCTTCCTCAAAGCAAAGACCAGGCTCCAAGTCCTCGTGAAATGGGTTTAATCTTCCAAATGACAACTCAATCACAGAAATTGTCTTTCAACTGTAATCCTAAAGTGAGGAGACAATGGATTAAAACATTTCAGGTAAATTCTTCCTCCTTCAAATCACTATGGCTAATGAGATCATACTGTTAAAATCAAATTTTATTAATACAAACTTGCTTATACAGAACCTTGTAAACACACTGATTGTGAATACTATACTTTCCCATCTACAATGTAAAATTTAGGCTAGAAAGGCCATGCCCTTCTTTCTTTTACATTCTCTATGATGCTTTTTACACGGTTTCAGCATTGCAAATTAAATAAGCATTGTTAACTAAAGATCTACATTTTATTTTTAATTATTTTTAGAGACAGTGTCTCACTCTGCTGCCCAGGCTGGAGTGCAATGATGTGATCACAGCTCACTGCAACATTGATCTCCTGGGCTCAAATGATTCTCTCACCTGAGCCTCCCCCATGTAGCTAGGACTTTAGGCACATCCCACTATGCCCAGCTAATTTTTTAAAAAATTTTTTGTAAAGACAGGATCTTGTTATGTTGTTCAGTCTGGTCTTGAACTCCTGCCTCAAGCAATCCTCCTCCCTTGGCCTCCTGTCATCTCGCCTAGCCTCATCTACGGCCGGGGGTGGGTGGGTGTGTGTGTGTGTGTGTGTGTGTGTGTGTGTGTATTTACCTACCAATTTGAGTCTCATGACTCTACATACATTTTAGATTATTAATGGAACTTCGATTATTAACACAAGATACTTGCTAACAAAATCTGATAAAGTAGAATGTTTCAGTTAAATGAAAAAGTTCAAATATTTTTACAAGTATTTTTGTTATTTCAAAAGTATATAATCGGCCGGGCGCGGTGGCTCAAGCCTGTAATCCCAGCACTTTGGGAGGCCGAGGCGGGTGGATCACGAGGTCAAGAGATCAAGACCATCCTGGTCA